GGCCGTCCTTCGCGTATGGAGGAGATACGCGTTCGGGGGATACTGGCCTTTATGTCGAAGGAAGATGTTTTGGCTTCTGTTGCTGCAGCTGGTGAGTGCGGGGTGGCAGACTTGAGGGCGGGGGAGATCCGTGTATCTCCCAAATCAAAGATTGGGTCTCTTTGGGTCCGTTGCCCGGCTGGAGCTGCGCGTAGGCTGGGGATCCTGGGCAGTGTTGGTATGGGGTGGACGAAACTGACGATTACTCCGTTGGCTCGTCGCCCCATACAGTGTTTCAGATGCCATGCCTTTGAACACTCGTCCAACAGTGTGGCTCTGAGGTGGTTCGCAGCAACTGCTGCTTCAGATGCGGGAAGGAGGGACACCTGGCGGCCAAATGCGAGGCGCCGCCCCATTGTGTCTCCTGTGCTTCCGGTGGAAGGCGAGCAAACCATCGCGCGGGCTCGGGTGCATGTTCCAAAAAGCATGTACCCCCTCGCAGGACGGATGGAGGCAAGGTGAGCGCTCCCTTGAATCGCGCGCAGGTTTTGGGGCGCCCTGATAGGCGGATTGGGGAGCAACCCCTCAGTCCAGTGGCGGGCCCGTCGGGGATTGCGGGGGGCGGCGGAGTGTATCGAGAGGTGCATCCGTGGCTTCCTCCTGTGCCCCGACAGAGTTGATGTCTGACTCGTGATTGTCTACTGTTGTTATGAGGACTGCGGCCATGCTGTTCCCCAGTAAGATGGGGACTTTTGGTCCGGTTACGTTCTCTGTCCTTAGTCCGATTTCTGTATAGTAGGTAGCGGCGATGGGGGATTGGGTGCCGGGGAGGTTGCTGAGAGTGACTCCGCGGCCCCTTCACCTACGCCAAGTTTATGTTGTTCTGGTCCCTTTGTCTTTCGTCAACAGGTGGGGTGTACATCTCTCCCCACCTTTATTTTTGTTTGTGGCCTTTTAATGTAGCCTCTCTCTAGGAGTCGGGCCTGTGGCCCTTACTTGGTCTCTATTTATTACTGTGGTTGTGTATACATGTAGTGTACACGTCGAGTTCGTGATGTCCCGTGACGTCATTTCATGTGGGGCTGATGACTGCGGTCATCTCGCCAACCAGGCTGGCAGGGAAAGGAGTGGGGGCTCCAATCCCATTGCACGTTGGCCTCGGGATGGCCGGGGGGTGAGCTGATAGCCCGGCTCCCCCCCTTATTTACCCTCTCGGGGTGAGGGTATTGGACGGGTCAACTTTCCCAGTTGCCCCGGGGATGTGTCCTTAACAGGACCAGGTCATGGGTGTCCACCGTGAAGTAATGCGTTTGCGGTTCCGCGGTGGACAATACCCGTCAACGACCAGGGGCTATAGTCAGGTTTTAGGTCGGTCCCCCGCCCGATAGTCCTTCGGGATACTACGGGCGGGAATCCACCACGAAGCCTCCTGGCCCTCCCTCAAGGGTCAGGACGCAAAGTTTGGTTTAGGCAAATTTCCTGACTTAAAAAAAAAAAAAAAAATTAGTGACGCGCAGAGTCCGTCGAGAGACTATGTCCTCGGTACACGTGTACTAAGTACGCTCTGTATAGTAGTACGTATTAAAGTAATTTAAAGTGCGTTCTGAGTGCAAAAAACAGTTCTGGTCTATTGTTTGTAGTGCAAAGACCAACAGCAAATGGAGACAAGTTGTTTAAACAATTATTTTATTTGTTATAAGCCTCCAAAGTTTTCACACGTGCTCTGCCTGTCTAGTGAATTTTTGACAGGCAGCTTGACACTTAAAGTATGAGTTAAAAGTTTATTAGAACTGATGTATTTTGTCCTGGGATTACTTGTTGCATCGAACTCTATCATATATATAAATTCCAGGCAATTCTATAATTATTTAAGTGAAAATAAGTGATTTTCTGTTGAGACTACTGATGTCTCTCTCGCACCAATAGATATATACTTCAAGTGCATATTGTGAATCCTGAACAGTTGTTAAATGTGGGGAAGTAATTTTAATACATTCCTATTGATAATAAGTAGCGTCTGTGGAAATTGCAACGTTAGAATTGTATAATTCTGTTTAAAACAGTAGTTTTCAACTTTGATTGTCGCTGTCTCTCTCACTCCTATGGATCTGGAGTAAAAGTTTACTTTTACGGTGATACATATTTCTCTCACATGTGAATACATTTTTAATGTATTGTTGCTGTCATTTGTCAACGTTCAGTGAAATTCTGATAGTGAAAACTTGTTAGTTTAATTATAAAAGGCAGCTAAAATCTGGACTATTGCTATCCTTGTTGCACTAGGGGCAAAACTGTCAAATATTTTTGGAGCCTCCAACAGCCCAATCTGGATTTTCACGGTAAAGTGAATATTTTATATAAGTTCCTTATGACGGCAAGAAGTTATTTTGTGATTGACAATTGTTGAAATCATTCCGGTTATTGTTGAATTAGCTTTATAAAATCACAAATTTTTCTCTCTAGATCAATGCGCTCGCGCGTTCAATTCTGAGTTGGCCACATTGCCTCTACAATTGTTGGCGACATATTATTGGCCTGGTTATTTATGGCTATGGTCGTTTGAAATGTGTTATTTTAATTTGATTATTAAGGATACTGCCTTTTTTCTTTGACTTATCAACACTGTTATCATAGCTACAATAGCATAGTGCATATACAAATCATTTTAATTGGTCAATTAGACTTAATTTAAAGAAATTATTAAATTAGCACGTGGCGTTGAGATTATACGGCGCATATGATCTGCGCAGTGCGCGCGTGTTCAGGTGGGTTGGCAGCTTGCTGGATATGTGCTGGCAAGCCATAATTGGCTGATAACATTAAACCGCGTAATTTTGAACTATATAACAAGTGTCTTATTAAATAATATTAATAAAGTGAAGTTTTTGACTAGTTTTTGATGAATAAAAATCAACACTAGCTGTTGAATCGTCAAATATTTATAATCCTACAATACTCTATATAATTACTGAACTGTGTGCTTTTGAATTACACTACCTGTATAAGTAATTATTAATAACTAATATATTATTAATAAAAGTGGAGTCTCGGCTAGTCATTGTCTAATAAATAACCAACACTTGCTGTTGTGTTATAAACAATAACAATTTAATTTGGTTATACATAATATAATTGATATGATATTGGGATAATGGACTTATAAGTGTCTTAACAAATAGATAATATTAAGCAAACTATGCTAAGTTTAAAAGAGGGAACTTACTGAAATCAAATATACATGATTTGGTTTCGCAGATACTATAATTCAATAAATTTTGAATACTTATCATATAATAAACTAGTAATATAAATTAACCTGTGCATTATAGTCTTATAAACGTACTAAAAGTAAATACAGTATAAAGCTTTTAGCTGATTTACAGTGTTTTTATCTAATTAATTAATAATATATGATAAATATATAATAAATGTGATTTAAGTGAAAACCTAATATTATCTTCGACGCATAATGCGTAAATCGCTGGGATTTTGTCTATTGCTATAACATTAGTAGGAATGAATCATGTATGCCTTGTTGCTTCCTTCTTTCTTCTGAGCGGCGTAATAATCGCCTTTCATCTACAATAGAAGAAGAAAAGTTTAGTGTTGTTTTTGTTGATTCTATTATTATTAATCTAAATTGACTCTAAAGATATATATAATATTAAGAGGTGAACTATGGAAGTCAAAGTAATTGACTATTTACAGTGAGATTGATTATATCTCCTGTGATAAATAAAGTTGTTATTTAAACAATCTAGTGGTGAAAACGCTGCTTTTTGTTCCCTACAAGATACTATGATTTACCTTTATTGAGAATCTATATATTGGCGATATCGTTGAGTGCTTCTGTGTGTTAATAAAGGAAGACTTTATATATATGAAAATAATCTAACGTATTGACCTTAAAGATACATATAATATTAAATAGTAAATTATGGAGTGAAATTAAAGTTAAACTAGTAATTGACTATTTACAGTGTGATCGATTAATTAATCATATATCTCCTGTGAGAAATAAAAGTTTTATTCAAATAATCTAGTGGTGGAAACATTTCTTTTGTTCTCTACAAGATACTATTATTTACCATTAGTGAGAATTTATACCCCGACGATACCGGAAAGTGCTTTTGTGTGCTAATGCAGGGCGTAGTCCTGTTGCCCACCAATATTGACTCTGAATCTCATAATGATCAGCTCAATGTTTTTATGCACTTCATGCATAATTATTTATGGGCAATTCACTTTGCCTTGCAATCTGAAACAATAACAAAGGAGTTGATTAACACATCTGAGTAAAGACTTTATATATATGGAAATAATTGTCTCGTGAAAACGGAAATCAATTCCTAATGCTTTGCTTATGATTTGAGTGATAAAATCTGAATAACTAACATTTAGTATTAACAGGACATTAGATATACTATATTACACTCATGTTTAGCTAATCAACAAGTCACATCCATTTTGATGATTGAATAATTTTTGTAGTTAAGTGCGTGATCAGGCTGCTCATAGAATTCTATTTTGTCAGTGAGTCTTCGTAATGCTCGGCCCTACGGCATGATATAGCTGGATATGGAATTTGTTTTGACATCTTGCACTCTATTTTTCACAAACTGAAACATTAAAATTGTTAAATAAACAATTTATATTATAACTAGCCAAATAATACAAAATACTTTATAAATCTGGAAATTATTAACCAGTGTACAGTTTATGATCCTGAACTATTAAACCGGAAGTACAAACATTTGGTATTAATTAGATAACAGATAATTTTCATTTACGTTTAACTAATCAAGTAATTAATTCAATAATTGAACACCTATAGAAGGTGATGAATGAAGAATAATATATAAAAGGCATGGAAATCAATAATAATTTCATGATCCTTGTGTGGACTCCAATACAATATATTTAGACTTACATAAATATTTTAACAAATCTTAATATTGTTTGTTACGAGTGGCTAATAGGTATTACCTATAATTAACATACCTTTAATAAAGTTTGAAACTATAATCCAAATAATTTAGTAGTGTAAATATTCTGGTGTCTAAACATCCACGGAAGACAATAGACTATGAATTATAGTGAATTGTGTGATCCGCTGCCTATAAAATACTATTTCCTTTTTGTTTTTGAGTCCTTACAATTTTCAGTTCGACTGGATATTATATTGGGGTGTCAATTTATTATGGCACTATATACTTTGTGTCCACCTGAAATGATAAAGTGAATAAATCGGTCACTGAGAACAATCTTAATAAATAAATAGAATATTTTCTATAAGACTTAAATCACTACAATATAACTTGTAGTGAAATAATTGTCTGCTACAATTATTCCAATTCTTATTATTTGGTAACAATTAATACTTACTAAAATCTGATAATAACATAAGTGAAAACCTAATATTATTTTCGACACATAATGTGTAAATTAGCTGGGATTTTGTCTATCGCTATAACATTAGTAGGATGGATCATGTGTGCCTTGTTCCTTCCTTCTTTCTTCTGAGTGATGTAATAATCGCCTTTTCATCTACAATAGAGAAGAAGAAAAAAGTTTAGTTTTGTTGATTCTATTATTATTAATCTAAAATTGACTTTAAAGATACATATGATATTAAGAAGTAAACTATGGAAGTCAAATTAGTAATTGACTATTTACAGTGAGATTGATTAATTGATCAATATATCTCCTGTGTTAAATAAAGTTGTTATTTAAATAATCTAGTGGTGGAAACACTGCTTTTTGTTCTCTACAAGATACTATGATTTACCTTTATTGAGAATCTATATCTTGGCGATGTCGTAAAGTGCTTCTGTGTGTTAATGAAGGAAGACTTTATATATATGGAAATAATCTAAAGTATTGACTTTAAAGATACATATAATATTAAATAGTAAATTATGGAGTAATATTAAAAGTTAAATTAGTAACTGACTATTTACAGTGAGATTGATTAATTAATCAATATATCTCCTGTGAGAAATAAAAGTTTTTATTCAAATAATCTAGTGGTGGAAACATTGCTTTTGTTCCCTACAAGATAATTCTATTTACCATTAGTGAGAATTTATACCCCGATGATACCGGAAAGTGCTTTTGTGTGCTTATGTAGGGCGTGATCCTATTGCCCACCAGTATTGACTCTGAATCTCATAATGACCAGCTCAATGGTTTTCTATGCACTTCATGCATAATTATTTATGGGCAATTCACTTTGCCTTTGCAATCTGAAACAATAACAAGGAGTTGATTAATACATCTGAGTAAAGACTTTATATACATGAAAATAATTGTCTTGTGAAAACGGAAATCAATTCCTAACGCGTTGCTTATGATTTGAGTGATAAAATCTGAATAACAAACATTTGGTATTAACAGGACATCAGATATACTATATTACATTCGTGTCTAGCTAATCAACAAGTCACATCCATTTTGATGATTGAATACTTTGTAGTTAAGTGCGTGATCAGACTGTCCATAGAATTCTATTTTGTCAGTGTTATTGAGTCTTCGTAATGCTCGGCCATATGGCATGATATAGCTGGATATGGAATTGTTTTTGACATCTTGCACTCTATTTTTTCACAATCTGAAATATTAAAATTGTTAAATAAACAATTTATATTATAACTAGCAAATAATACAAAATACTTTATAAGTCTGGAAATTATTAACTAGTGTACAGTTTATGATCCTGAACTATTAAACCGGAAGTACAAACATTTTGTATTAATTAGATAACAGATAATTTCTATTTACGTTTAACTAATCAAGTAATTAATTCGACAACTGAACACTTATAGAAGATGATGAATGAAGAATAACATATAAAAGGCATGGAAATCAATGATAATTTCATGATCCTTGTGTGAACTTCAATACAATATATTTAGACTTATATACATATTTTAACAAATCTTAATATTGTTTGTTACGAGTGGTTAATAGGTATTACCTATAATTAACATACCTTTAATAAAGTTTGGAAACTATAATCCAAATAATTTAGTATTGTAAATATTCTGGTGTCTAAACATCCGCGGAAGACAATAGACTATGAATTATAGTGAATTGTGTGACCCGCTGCCTATAAAATACTATTTCCTTTTTGTTTTTGAGTCCTTATAATTTTCAGTTCGACTGGATATTATATTGGGGTGTCAATTTATTATGGCACTATATACTTTGTGTCCATCTGAAATGATAAAGTGAATAAATCGGTCACTGAGAACAATCTTAATAAATAAATAGAATATTTTCTATAAGACTTAAATCACTACAATATAACTTGTAGTGAAATAATTGTCTGCTACAATTTTTCCAATTCTTATTATTTGGTAATAATTAATACTTACTAAAATCTGATAATAACATTACTTTATACGATAAACATCATCTTGATACAGTCCATAAGATACACTGATATAGGTGATCATGCCTTGACATTGATATTCTATAACCTGTAGCAGAATAATAGTTTTGTCTCAATAATCTGTCTCAAACTAGCTGTACTTAGTTTGTCAAATTTAAGTGATAAATGTCTTACGGGTTACAAGTACTGTTTTACAATACTGGAATTCTAATAATCAGTGATAAATAAGTGCGCCTACGTCCACATTTATTGATGAATACCTGTGATTGGAAGTGAATGAAGCCTTCTATATGTGTCAACTAATGCAGAGGTGCTTTTCGGAGGCGTCTAGACTTTTCTTCCAGACATTGTTACTGCGGATGTACTGAGGCTCTGGGGTTTGATGGTGGTCTACGTCAACCTTATGTGGAGCCCTCGCAACCTTGAAGTTCTCTTCCGCTCTCTAAAAGATAAGTGAAATTAGTACATATACAATGATAAAGGACTGATGAGCAATAATTTGTGGAGTCGTTTACACATAAATGTGTAATTCTTTAACGAACATTAATTGAAGTTTTTTGTCAATGGACTGTTGTAAATTTATATACACTTAATCTGTGATCAGCTAGTTGTAACCTATAACTGTGCTTTAAGGATACTATAATTAGAATTCTTCCAATTCTGATATATAACAAATATAATTATATAGACTTCTTGAGCTAAACAATAATCGAATACTTTGAATTTATATTAATTTTATGAGAAATATGTGCTTCTCTATATGAGGCACGCCTGCCTCGACTGGCTAAAATTAAGACAACTTTTGCAATTAATAACAACTATAATTGACTAATTAATAATCTTATGTTAAATTTCAATATTGGAATAATAATTTCAATTACTTACTTTTCTTGTTGAGTGTATAATAGTGTTGACAATATTGTGGCAACAACCCAATTGATTTGGCAACAGACACTTGCATCTTGTGTTATGAGTTATCCTTTTGGAGGTTATCCTCTGTATTAGGATGAAGTGCTCACTGTACTGTTGAGTGCGGAGATTGCTGTGTATTGATAAGCCTGGTTAATACACGTTAAGATACACATATGTATATAGGCTTATATGACTTTAATATTGTCAATATTATAAACTTTATATAAATATTCATTGGGCATATATTGACAATTAACTACACACACTTAATTAGTAATGGACATACTGTACCTAATAATGCTGATGAAGCTTGACTCTCGCTAATTTAATCTTATTAGTATATATATAAGTGATTTTTCAGACGTTACATTATTAATATTATTATTAATAACTTAAAGTTAATATTACCTTGCACTTGTACGGTTATTATTGTCCATTTGTACAACTTGGAACCGTATTATTGCTTAAGCTCTCACATCTGGAACTGTTACATCGTTGAATGACATTTTGCAACAATTGGGGTTATGTTTCTCTCTCCCAAGAGTGTTTTCCTCTCTCGGGAATATAAATTGCGGCAAATGGACATCGACGCGCCATCTATTGCATCGTGTGTGAACCCCGTACCCAAAGTCACCAACAGTCATAACCATGACATAGACATGCAACTCGATGTGCCTTATACGGTTTTGTCCAAAGTTACTAGATCTAGTGTTAAATTACTAAATCATGTAATTTTGTGTTTTCTTTATTAATGAATGATTTTATATATTAAAACATCATATTATTGTATAATTAAATTGACTTTACTTAAATAATTGTGCTATACGAATATTTTGTTAAAATTTAAATATATATAAATTCAAGTGACTAAAAAGTTGATTGTCACGAACCAGTGCTTTAAATTATAGTTGAATAATGAACTTTTGTTAATCTTCAACGAGATTGCATTATTATTATGTAATCCTCTCATGAAAAATCACTAGATCTGGAGGAATTCTTGAGGATTGGGCAAATTCAAGTTTCTTTCTTATAATAACACATTTTATTGTGTTTTCTGTGCGAACTCGGTATTAATTTGATGTTTTACGCGGATAACTACGTCTTAATGTGTTTTTTTTTTTCTAAATTGTGACAATATATACTGATGATAAATGAACACTGGATATAAATAACCTTACCTATACATTGTTTATGTGTGTTACGCTATATTAATGCACCGTATGAACATTATTTCTGATAAGTTGTTCTTGATACATGTGAACTACCTAAAGCCTATAGGCGTGTTTTCATGAGTGTTGCGGCATTTCCTCTTCGAGGAATTTGAAGAATGGATAATTGCCGCAGAGTTAACACGCTTTAAGGATGATAATTTACATTAAATAATTTAACTTTGGACTGTGATTTGCTTGGTTCCTTGTGCTATTATAATAACACTAACGGAGCCTCTGCTTACCATCTATCACTGTCAATATTTTCTGCTACATCCTACTATTATTGACACCCTTAAAAATGGAGACAGTTGAGGATATTTTAATGCGACTACATAAGGCTCGCCTCACACCCACGATGTTGTTGGGGTCCGCGATTAATTCTTTAGACAAATTGCGTAATGATGGAACTTCAGTACCAAAAGAGGAACTTAATAACATAGAAGCGTGCATTCGAATTATCTATGGCCAGGGCTACAAGATGTTCTGTGCTCGGTCATATTTGCTAGGTAAAGTTTCAAGATACAAAGCCTTGTTAAATCCTGATAAAGTCGTACGGATGAACTCCTCCCCGGGGATTGATATAGAACTGAGCCTGCGTAGGCTGGATGGCACCACATCGTGTTTGTGCGACGCAACTGCAACGAACCGTACCCTGATGGAGTCAGTCGAATCTCAGCTTGCTGACCTCGACAAAATGATCAAGCTTGATAAAACTGAGGACACTCTTATCAACGTAGGTCATTCAATCAGCAATACAAGAGCTGAAATTGATAGGCTGAGCGAGGAGTTCCGCATCATCTCGTGTATGAGTGATGTTATTGATACAAACATACCGGACGGACTACAATTATGCAGACCTGCCAATCCTATGGCTAATGATTATGAGGGAAGGATACCCTCAAAAAATCCACTTATTATACCGACATGGCTGACAAAAAGGAACAGGAAATGAACTTACCGTCACAGGAGGTTTTCGGAGCCTCCAGTGATCGGCATGGCGGAGTTGTCGTCCCCGGCTCCGCCTGTCGTCATCAATCAAGGGGCTGACCTGCCCGTTGCCGTTGGGCGAGCAGGTTGATACAGCTACCACGGTTCTAAATGTGCATGAGCGTAAAGTGGATGATGAAGTTTGTGATCCCCTTAATAGTGCTAGAGTAGGATCTAGCACTCCATCGATGGAATTGATCGGTAGTTTGCCTCCATCTGATCATGCTTCAAAAAGGAAGGCTGATGAATCACCCAAAAATGATATTGTTTCGGTAAGTAGGAATCGCAAACAAAGGCATATAACAAGCTCTGATGAGCAAGAGGAGCAAGATGTTGCTGCTCGTAATATGGAAGACATCGAATCTATTAATGATTCACAGCAGGAAGATGCTGAATCTTCTTCCCCGGAGGAACGTAGGGTTCTTCGCAAAATAAAGAGTACTGGGAAGAAAAGACGTAGTGAAAGACTCGCTGCTGTGGAGGATAAAAGTGTGTTGTCTGAATCAAGCCCTGTGGTTATTTCAGATGAAGATGAAATGGATGTGTCTGTCCCGGGCCCTTCGAGTAGTCAGAGGATCAATGTATCAAAAAGAAAGTATCTAAAAATAAAGATAAAAATACTTTGGCTCCTGCTTTGGTTCCTGAAAGGAATAAGGATAGCAATCTCGATTTAGATATCTCTTGTGACTTGGACGTTTCCAACAGAATCAGCATCAAAGAGCTGGTTGTCATGAATAATGGTGAAATTGCCTCATATGGTTTGTCTTTGGTGAACCAGACAGAGATTCTGCGTGGTAAGAGCAAGAATGTTTCTGGCACATTCAGCGGCCGCTGGAAGCGTTATTTGGAACAATTAGGTGACGTTGTTCGTGCCTATAGTGAAAAGGTGCAGGCCCAGGGCGATATTGGACAGCTAAAACGCGAGAATCAAGAGCTTCAAGAAAAATCAAAGAAGTATGCAAACGCGGCGAGGATACAGAGGCTGAACTCAAGTATGTTAAAAGTATGATGACTACCCTACAGGAGGAACTTCGTGCTTTAAGAGAGGAGCGAAATAATATGCTTATATTAAATAAGGTGCCTAAGGCTAAAGTACGTGCTACTGAACATGATGACACTGATTCATCTGTTACTAGATCACTGGTGGCTGATGCGCGTAGAGAACTTGGCAACTCGAGTAGTAATGTGGACTGGGCCTTAGAGTCGACTGGACCGGCGTAGAGCCCACCACCGTCCGCAAATTTGGACAAATCACCGTATATCGCCTCAAGAGTTTTCCGCAACACAAGTGCTGAAGCAGCTTTAGACAATAAGTCCTTCCGCCCGCCCTTGAAAAGCCCTCGTGCTAAGAGCATAAAAATAGTAGAGAACAAGCAGATTGTTCCCCCAAGATTAACTTATAATAAGTCTGTCTCACCAAGAATGAAGGCTCCTGCGAGAGGTGATAGAGATTTTCCACCGCTTCCTGCCTCCTCGACGGCGCGTAGGGGTTCTGAGAGTTCGCGTATTGAGTCTGCTGGTGTTCGGCGTGATACTGGTAATCCTGGACCTGTAAACAGACCTAGGGTTGCTAGACGCAAGGTGGCGGTAGTTACAATTATGAGTAAGGCTGGCACGGAGTCCTCATATGCTGAAATCCTGGGTGCTGCTCGGCGGAATATTTCTCTTAATGATATTGGTATTAAGGAGACCAGGATTCGTCCAGCCTTTAATGGTGGATATAAAATTGAAGTGCCTGGTGAAAGAGGATTGGAACTTGCTGGCCGCCTGAAAGAACAACTAAAAGTAATATTACAGGACGTAGCTAAAGTTGACAACCCGGTTGCTAAAGGTGAACTTAAGATTGTAGGACTGGCTCCATCTACACTTAGAGAGGAGATTGGTGACCAGTTGACCTGTATTAGCAGTTTTCCTCCGGAGTCTTTTAACATTAGTGATATTAAAAGGATGCGTGATGGCATGGGGATTGCCTGGGTGCAATGCCCCCTTAATGCTGCAATCTCGATTGCAGAAATTGGTCGTCTTCGTATTGGTTGGACGTCGGCGAAAGTCGAGCTTCTCAAGAAACGTGCAGTACAATGTTTCAAGTGCTGGCGTTTTGGACACGTTAGGACGAACTGCTCAGCACCAGAGGACAGGTTTGGTTCCTGTTTTAGGTGTGGTAACAAGGAACATAAAGCCAAGGACTGTTCGGCTCCTTTGCACTGTGTCGTGTGTTCTGATTTAGGCAAAAACTGTAATCACCGCATTGGCTCTTATCCATGCTTAGTCAATAACGGTTACGAGACTATCAAACGAGTTGAGCAAAAACAACCTGAACGTTCTTTTGGATATGCAAATTAGGATCCTACAATGTAACCTAAATAGGTCATGGCGTGCTTTAGATCTATTGCGCCAGCAATCAATTGAGCTTGAAATCGATTTGGTTGCCATTTCTGAGCCACCTTGCGGCAGTAGTATTCCAGCGGACTGTTTTTAAAGTAAGGATAACTCGTCGGCTATTATGCTGAATAATAATAAAGTTAAAAATAAATTATTTAGAAGTCTAGATAACATTATAATTTTCGAATACTCCGATTTCCACTTAATATCATGCTATATTTCACCTAATAGCTCAAGAATTGTCTTTGAAGCTTTTATAGATGTTTTAGATGAGCTAATTAAACAACTCCGCTGTAAGAAGGTCCTCCTCTGTGGGGACTTTAACGCCAAGTCCCACCTGTGGGGATCTAGAGACACAGATAGGCGAGGCACGTTGATTGGCCTTATGGCGGCCTCGAACTGTTTATCATTATTAAACGTGGGTAATTCCCCAACTTGTATTCGTCCACAGGGCTCATCTATTGTTGACCTTTCATGGGCATCACCTGGTATTGTTGATGATATAGATGACTGGCGGGTAATGAATGATGTTGAAACACTATCCGATCATGCTTACATTAGTTTTACTTACCTGTGCCGATCTAATACTTACCGTACATCCAACCCAATACCAGCTAGAGGTTGGAATTTTAAGAAAATGGACAAGCCATTGTTTGCGGAATGTATCGAGTGGTACTGTAATTTAAATACTATACCTGCTCTGGAAGACAATTCGGCTGATTCTCTTGTGGATTGGATCAGTCAGACGATTTCCGACGCGTGTTGTGCATCTGCTCCTAGATTAAGTATATTTAGGAAAAAGTGTTGCTATTGGTGGACGGAGGAGATATGCAACCTTAGGAGGATTACCATCTCTCACAGACGAGCTTTTACCCGAGCCAGGAGGAAGGGAAACGATACCCTTATCAGGATTGCTGCAGATAACTACAGGAGATCGAGGCGTGAACTACGATCAGCCATTAATAAATCCAAAAATTCCGCATGGCAGGAACTTATTGGCACCCTAAACGATGACCCATGGGGGTTGCCGTATAAAATGGTGTTAAATCGTTTACGCAGGTCTGGCAGTAATTTGGCTGCGAATATCACGAGTGATGAATTGTCCGATCTGCTTGTTAGGCTTTTTCCGTCTAACAGACTTGATACAAGTCTCCCTTCCCAGGATGTTGAGTGGAATGAAGAATGGGACATAACACCCGGTGAAATTCATGGTCTGTTGAAAAAGCGTCTAGCTCGAAACGTTGCATCGGGTCCTGACGGGATTAAGTCACTGGCATTGAAGATCATGCCATGGTCCATGATCCGGATTATGGCTGTGTGTTACACTCGTTGTCTTAGAATGGGTGTTTTTCCAGACAAGTGGAAAATGGCCAATCTGGTGCTTATCCCTAAGGGGGCTGTGGTGCCGGATGCCCCAATTAAGGCCAGACCCATTTGTCTTCTTGACGAGTTAGGAAAGACATTTGAGCGCGTTATTGTCGATAGAATCCAGTTTTGGCTGAAAGAGAATCCAGCCTGTGATTTGTCTTCTCAACAATACGGGTTCAGAAGAAACAAATCCACAGTTGACGCCCTTATGGACCTCAGACAATTTACATCTTCTGCTCTAGAGGAGGGCAAAAAGGCAATAGCTGTAAGCCTCGATATCAAAAATGCGTTCAACTCGGTCCCATGGGGAGTTATAGCAAACGCCTTACGTGAACGCAATATTCCGATGTATCTGTGCAACATTATTAGTGGCTATCTGTCTAATAGATATGTTATTTACCAGGATGGAAATGGTGTTTCACATAAGAAAGTGGTTGATTCTGGTGTTCCACAGGGCTCTGTTCTGGGGCCTCTGCTTTGGAACCTCGCTTTTGACAATGTGCTCCGTCTGCAGCTTGAGCCTGGGTGTCGTGTCATCTGTTATGCAGATGACACGTTGGTTGTTTCCGTTGCTGATACCATCCTTGGAGCGGCCCTTAAAGCTGATATCCAGTTGGCGAGAGTCCTTCGCTATATTCGCCGCATCCAGCTCGATGTGGCCGAGGATAAAACAGAGGCAGTTCTCTTTAGTTATAGGGAGCCACGCGATCGACCCTATATTATGTGTGGCAACTCTCGAATCAAGGTGGATTCCGCTATGAAATACTT